TCATTTGACTGTTGAGATCTTACTCCTCAGAAATAAAGCCAGAACTGCAGCTGCCTTCACATACCCACCTATGAACTTAGATGTCTGCAGGTGACAGAAAAAAAATTTGTCATGTTCAGCTTCTTGTACTTACATATCTAATACAGGAGTAGAGAAGAAACAGCTAAGTGTTTGGATTCAATTTCCACTATACCACCCATTTAAGCCATATATCTCCAGGAAAAGTTATTAAGCCTTTCCAAACTAAGGCTTTCTCACAAGTAAAATGGCAAAAAGAGAGTACCTACATAAGACTATCATAACAGAAATTAATTTTGATGAACTACATCAAATGTCTGACACACAGTAAACAACATGTGTTAATATGGTAATACTGTTATTAACTTACGCTAATATTGTTTGGTTCCTAGTTGAAAACAAGTTTCTATACCATCACATTACTTTGTGTCTGGGCTTCTTTTACACATGCATTATCAGTATATTATTTATTCCGTTTTTATTCAAATATTGTTTATTGGGTGCCTATAGTATACCAGACATGACTAGAACCAGGAATAGAGGAGTGAAGAAAACAAAGTCCCTGAGAAAGAAAGATAGACAACACATATATAGTATCAGTCTTCAGAAGTCTGTAAAAAATTAACACACTATATGAGCTGATGAAAAATCACAAGGAGCTTCAGGTAGGCAGTGGGCTCTTTAGGTAGCCAGTAGGAGACCATAGGGAAGCAGTGACATTCAAGCACATTCCTGGAATGAGGAGGTCCAAGCCATGCCTGGAAAAGGCAGAACATACTCAGCAGAGTCACATCAAGTTCAAAGGTCCCAATAAGAAAGCCAGGGGGCTAGAGTTGAATACGTGAAAAGTTGTAAAAGATAAAGGAAAAAAGGGAGGTGAGACAAAGAAAGCCTTAATTAAGATGAAGGGCTATATTATTCAACAACTAAAAAGTCTGGCAATAGAGAAGAAACCATCACATCAGATCCCAACTTGAGTATTTATGGAAAGAACTCTAAAATATATTAAAGAATTTAATGGAAGGAAAACTGAAATAAAAGGGACCAATGTCACCAGAGTGGAGGAAGAAGAGGAAGAGCAGAAGGAGATAAGGACTGTGAGGTCATCAGAAACTCCAGAGTATGCTCTGAGTGTGATGAGAAACTACTGGAAGTTTCTGAGCCCAAATGATTTACAAATAGAATTGGATGGCTTACATTCTAAAAAATACATCAGCAAATCCCATCAGCTCCCACCTTAAAAACACAACCCTGTACAACTGTTTCTCACCACTTCTATTATTATTCCCCTACTGCACCATCTTTTAGGATTTTTGCCTGAGTTATTGCACTAATTTATCAGTTTCCCACCTCCATCCAATCAAATGTATGATATAATGCCCAAGGCAGGTGTAGGGAGAACAAAAGAGAAGAAAAGAGGTTACTGGAGCACCCCAACATTTAAAAGCCAAACAGTTCAGAAAGACTATGAATGGTCAATGAAGGAAAACCAAAGCAGTTTGGTATCCAGGAAGCTAAGTGAGGAATATTTATTAAATTTTTGGTGATAATAGCTTGTATTGTAATTGCCTTCTACATGCCTAATGATGCTTTATGTTTACAATTTTTTTCACATGGTATTAACAGGGTATAATCCTTTTCCCCCTGGTTACTATTTGTCTGATATACTTTGTTCCCTTTCTGCTTCTATTTTATGTGTGAGTTCTTCAAATTCAGTTACTATTTTGTTTCATGGAGCCAATGCATATTTAGATCTACCCAATTTTTTCCATCTCGCATCCGAGACCCTCCCCTTCAGAGACCAGTTTCGTTTTTCCTAAGGTGTTTTTGTCAGAGGTTCCTTTGGTGGTAAATCCTCTGAGGAAAATGTCTCTATCCCACATGGCAATTTAACTGGGCAAACAAATACAGGTTGCCAGCTACTTTCCTCACCACTTTGAACATATTATCCCACTATTTTCTTGGCATCTATTATTGTTGTTGAAAAGTCTGAATTTTTCTCTGGGTGTCATCCTGTTGTGTTCTCTGGTACAACAATATTTTACTATTAATACAATCTGCCAAAGCATCAGTTTAGTTTTATTGACTCTGTTTGGGATTTTATGTTAATCCTGTATTTGAAGGCTCATGTCATTCATTGATTATAAAATATTCTCAACCATTATCTCTTAGGATTATCTCCTCTCTTCCCCATTCTTTTTAATTCTTCTTGAGTTTCTATTAGGAATGGGTTGACCTTCTTATTCTTTATGTTACATCAACTTACATTCACATTTTCCATCTTTGCATCTCTGTGGTATGTTCTGGGAAATTTTTTGTCTTGTTTACTAATTTTTCAGCTATGTCTAATCTGCTATTTTATCTATCCTATGATTTCTAGAACTTCTATTTGGACTATCCAAATTCTCTTGGTTATTTTTGATAGTCTCCTGCTCCTTACTGACACTTAAATTCCTCCCCTTTGAAATATACAGAACCATCAGTATTAACCCTCATAACTCTTGAAAATACCTCATCAGTCTATCTGTCACATTTTCTTCTGTCATCATCTCTACCTACTACGCATGTAACTTTCACTAACTTTTTTTTTTTTTTGAGACAGAGTTTTACTCTGTCATCCAGACTGGAGTGCAATGGCATGATCTCAGCTCACTGCAACCTCCACCTCCCAGGTTCCAGTGATTCTCCTGCCTCAGCCTCCAATGTAGCTGGGATTACAGGCACCCATCACCATCCCTGGCTAATCTGTATATTTTTAGTAGAGACAGGGTTTCACCCATGTTGGCCAGGTTGGTCTTGAACTCCTACTCAAGTGATTTGCCTGCCTCGGCCTTTCAAAGTGCTGGGATTGCAGATGTGAGCCACCATGCCCGGCCAACTTTCACTAATCTTAAAAGCCTAGCTACATTTTCAGAGTGTTTAAGACAACATTATTCCTATATTGAGATAGGCAATCTAATTTTAAAAACCTGTACTATGAATCCAGACAGCTAAATTCAAATCAAAAGCTGTGTCACAAACTACGTAACTAAAAGTTTATCAATTTTGTTTTCTTGTGTAAAATAAGAACAACGATAGTCTCTAACTCATAGGGTTTGGGAACAGTAAAATGAAATGTATATTTAAGTTTTCCGGTGTAAGAAGCAGACAGATGGCAGAGTCCCTGGCTCAGCCACTCATGATGACAAGGCATCAATGTCATCATCATCATTAGTATTATTATGAGGAGCGATATCTTGATCATCCTTTAATCTAGTAGGGTCAATCTATGAGAACTTCTATATAACCCCATCTAAATTTTTCTTCCTTTTGAGGATTCAAGACCCAGTCAGTAAAGCAGTGCCTATTCAATTTTACTTGAAACAAAGTAAATAAATTGGCTTAAAAGAACAACAACAATCTACTAAGAGATTTAGATTCAATGGCCATTTTATTGAGCACTAAGGACTTCATTATGACAAAGTCGGCATCTGACATGTCCATATAAACCAAGATAATATAATTGTGTTAAATAAGTACCTTGACACAGGAGGATCACCTGAGTAAAGGAGTTCAAGACCAGCCCAAGCAACACAGCAAGATGCCCATCTCAAAAAACAAAACAAAACAAAAACCCTGCAGGTATTTTAATCTAACTTTTACATATCCTTTGTTTTGGAATGCTTACTTGCTTAAACAGACTAAATAGCTGGAGGTCAAATCTTCTCTAGCCATTGATGTGAACCAACCAAACGATATTCTCAAGGAGTATTTTGTTAACTCAGTACCAGCTATCTGACAAATTTGAAAATACAACTGTATTTCTTTGATGAACTCTGTAACTGGGGTAGGGTGTTATTCAACATAAGATTTATTCAGGCTGGGCATGGTGGCTCACACCTGTAATCCCAACACTTCGGGAGGCCAAGGTGGGCAGACTGTTTGAGCCCAGGAGTTTGAGACCTGTCTGGGCAACATGCTGAAACCCCATCTCTGCAAAAAATGCAAAAATTAGCTGGGCGTGGTGGTGTGTGCCTACAGTCCCAGCTACCCAAGAAGCTGAAGTGGGAGAATCGCTTGAGCCCAAGAGGCTGCAGTGAGCCATGTTCATGTCACCGTACCGCAGACTGGGTGACAGGGTGAGACTCTGTCTCAAAAAACAAAAATTATTCACCTAAACATGTTTTTCTTTTAAAATGTCTACCCTAATTAATCTAAATCCTTCAAAGTTACTGACCCTTGGAATGCACTCTTCAATCTACAATTGTCTTTATTTCTGTAGCATTACCTATAAAAATTAGAGCCCTAGTAAAAGAAGCCCATTTTTACAAGTTACACTTCTCTCAAATGTATTTTAGATGTACAATTTCCTACTAACATCTTGAGTTGCTTAATAGTAAAAAAAAAAAAAAATTATTAGGGAGAACCAGAAAAAGAACAATTATAGGGAATTCTTTTAATTTGCCCTGAAATAATTTTATTTTCCTTAACATTTCAACAGGAGTCACTAAGACATTACTTCCTAATTTTAACATTGCATGTGAATATCAAATATACACTTACTCTTTGTAGGTGCGCTCTAGATTACACGGCATAGTAAAACAAGCTATGTAGCCCATTAATAAGGTATTTAGGTGTGATAGCAACTCCTGCTCCATAAAAGGATGACAAGGGATGAAAACATAAATATATATATATATAGGATTTGAGTTTTACTGGGAGCAAAGGTTGAAACAAAGTAGCACTGTGAGAAATCAGCTAGCAAAAGACCATCACAGAAGCCTGAAATCAGATGGCTCAAAGTATAGTTAATAATATCCAAAAGCTAGACTAGAGGTCTAGAAGAGATCACTGGTTAATAATTACTAACCAATTTTATTTATACCAGAGATGTAATGACAAGCAGTGTGGAAATTAAACATATACATTTGTTATCTTGTGCATGTTTTTAAAAAGCAAAAGAAATCAAGTGTGCATCACACCAAAGCAGGTTTGTATCTTACTTCCACTCCTCTGGTGGGTGGGCAAGCTCATACTTCTCCCTCACACTGGAGACGCCCATATCCACGTGAAGCCAGTGAACCTCCTCTGACCGCAGGTGACTGAGGCGGAATCCATAGCAGGCCACATGCTTTACTTTGTGACTGTCCACTATCTTCTGAATGATGCCCTAAAACATACCCCCCACAAGAATGACTGTTATAAACTGAAAAAAAAAAAAAAAAAAAACCAAACAAACTATATGCTAAAAAGTAATGCAATATTCATTTCTTTTAGTCAATTATCAGAAATCTTTGGTATGAGAATATCAAGTTAAATAAATGACTTAGGAATCTTTGTTTCTGAAATAGTATTTTCAAGAACAAGGAGAAGTTTTAGAAAAGAAAACATAAAGAGATTATCTCCTTTCGTCATTAACAAGGCATGTAAACTTAAAAATACATTTCTGCAATTCCACTATCATCATCCCCCAAACCTGTCAAAGCACACCAGTTATCTTTCAGTTACTACTTTCTAAGGTCCAGACCCAAGGAAGGGGTTATACTTTCTAGAACAGGGATATCATACTGTTCAAGACCAGGCTGCAACATTCATAATCTTTTTTTTAAAAAACATACATTCAGGAACACACACTTAAGGCTATGTTTCTGGTGACACTGGAGATACATGAAAAGTTCTTTGAATTAGGGCCTAATCAGTTTATTACTTGCTCTTTAAAAATTATTATGAAACAATCTAAAATACTCCCAAATCTAATGCTTCTAACATGTGTTCCCTTGAGTTCAGAGGAGAAGGTCACCTTTGAATGAGGTCATCAGGGAATGTTCCTTAGAGATGGTGAAATTTCTCCTGGAGCAATGGACAGGTTAAGTGTTAGAACTGACTCTTGCCCTGTACCTACCTAGGTATGAGGGCCATGGGAGAATATGTTGTTAAGTGGGCAGCATGTATAGAAGACTCATTTGGGAACATGACAGAACCATCTGCTGCCCTTTACATGAGGGTATGCAAATCACAACCAACTGTGACCTCAATCTTTTAGGTGATAAGACAAGTATTTTTTTAAATGATGCTGATACTAAAATGAAAATGTCCATGAAAGAAAATAATCACTAGTTTTTAGAATTGCAATTAATTGAAGTTATAATAAAACTTGTAAGACATACATAAAAGTTCCTGCACTCACCAAGTATTGCTTTATTACAGCACAATGCTGCTGATCATAATAAAGGATATTATCCCCAGTCTTCTCCATAATCTAAGACAAATCGTAACATGTACCATATACAAAAACTGTCCAAAACCCAGTATATGCACACTGGGGACGTGTGCTGCTGTGCTGGGCTCCCGATACTGGCACCTGGTATGTGGCAGACCTCCCAGGGCACTGAGTGAATGAAGTGGTAGAGTCAATCTCTCTTTCAGACAACTCAATCCCAGGTACAAAGTTGTTTATCAAGCACAGGAAGTGGCAGAGAGAGGGACAAAGGAAGGGAGTAAACATGGTATCAAGAGAGAAAGCATGAACAACAGACCAGGCTGGAAGAGTCAAAGACAGGTTCATAAAGATGATGAATTCTCATCAGGACAGGAAGGATGCTTACAGCCTACATACTCCTATGTGGAACTGACAGAAGCATAAAATGTTCTTCCTGGCTTTTTGATCCAAGGCCCAGAATTCATGACAGGGCCACTGTAAATGACAGTACCCTACCTACACAAGGATGTCCAGCCGAGGGCAGAGAGTCCACATTCTAGTCTTTAAACCTTGTACTCTGGGGTGGGGAACTTGCCTAGAGAAAGGAGCACCTTTTAACAATTCTCTCAGAAGTGACTTCTGCAGCTTCTTGACAACACACAAATCCCTGAACTATAAAGGATGAAAGCTAGCACCTCTGCGAAATTCCCACAAAAGCTCCTGGTTCCCTGTCCAGCTCTGCCAGGTCAACACCTAGTACACACCAACACTAGTTACCCTTGGTAAAGCACAGGACAGTAAGTCTCCTTGCTCCACAACTCACTACTACTACCAATTCAAGAGGCAGCTCTCTCTTGTTAGAGCTGCGATCAATGTCTACACTGGTCTCTAGACATCTGCCTCAGGTCACTTGGTCTATCATTCCATAAACTGATGTTGAATATAAGGCAGTGAGGAACACAAATCATTTCTTATAATTGTCACCATTCACATCCTAAGAAAAAGCCCAGCTTCTCTGGTTGCCTTCTGTAGTGATTCCATGAAAAAGTCACTTCATCTCCTCTGAACTCACAGCACACATATAGGAGACCTGCAGCAAACCAGTCTCAAAGAAGCTTAGCCCAGAACCGTGGTATTTGTTAGGGAAAGGCAGGTTTCTGTCTTGGAGTTTTATGGAACAGAGAGAATCTTATTCCATTCACTTGATCATGCTGCCTGAAGAGACTGAGAGTGACTTCAAGTGTGGATCTGAGTAACACTGCCTTTGCATACAGTAGTACCTCATGAGTAAACCAGCTTTCAATTTTCACTCTCCATGGAATAGTGAAAAGCAATAAACACACAGATATTACCTTCTGTTTCATTTTTTGCTTTCTCATTATGCATCCATATTGCACTCTGTACTACTGCTCATTCTCTAGCACGCTTATAAATTTCTCTGGGTAACGGCAAACATTACAAATATACAAAGTGTTTAAATATGTGGTGCTAAATGTATATACTCAGTAACTTAAGTAATTTTGAGAACTAAATATCTGGTCTGGATAACTCAACAAATAATTCTGAAAACTATGTATTTAGTGAGGAATGTATACTCAACCAACTCTACAGTGCTGCCATATGGAAGTGCCCCATTTTCACATCACACACGCATACATTTAGAATAAAAATGACTGTCTCTAAAAAGATAATAGGACATGGGTGTTTAAAATGCCACTAAAGGTACCAGAATTAAATTTAAATTTCTCATTGTGGCTTTGAAGACACATCTATATGGTCCTATGAAATACAAAACAACAGTTGGCTACTCTGAAACCTGTCTCTCATATCCCAAGTGTCAGAAATACACAACTTTTCTGATTAAATTCTCATATAGACATTCATGGTAAAAGGATTCTTTTTAAGGTTAAAATAAAAGAAGCCAGTGTTTACATCATGCCTATATCTTATCAGGAACATAACATTAAATGTGCAAGGTCATTTTACTACTGATGAATAAAGATTTCCTTGTTCTGAGGGAGAAAGGAAGGTGTAAATGAAAATACTGCTATGAACATTCTTCTAGCTGTCATCAAAAGTATTTATGACCACTGCATAGAAACAGGCAAAATTTCCTTTAACTGAAACATTTTGGTAAGTACAACCAAACTTCCCGCCCATCAACAAAACTATACCAATTATACTTGATGCATAATGTTACAAAGTATCATTTATCTCACATGAATAATGAGTAAAATTAATCTTAGGATGATCAATTTGATGACCAAAAAAACTCCCCCAGGTATTTTACTGTTGTTATGATGGTTTAATTTCCCTGATTATTCACTAGTGAGATGAGGCCATAGTTTTGTTCATTTCTGAAAGTTTGTATTATTTTGCTTGGTTCCATTTAGCCACTTACCTTTGAGATAGTACTTTCAAACAAATGACCTTCACCACTGTTCGAAATAGGTTACATGACTCTTTCCTCCATGTTCATTCTTTCATGAATGTTCATTCATTTATTCATGAACACCTGAAGTGCCCACTACATGCATGATGCTAGTGACACAATAACGGTTAAGATGCAATCCTGACCCTCAGATGTCTTAGAGTCTCACAGGACAAAGACATGACAATGAATATGTGCAAATGAATATTAAGTGGTTTGTGGGGAAAAGGGGACAAAAAGGGATATTTTATATTTTTAGCTATAGCCTCACACTTAATTTTCAGATTTATTACTAGAAGAGATATTTGAAGCAACACACATTGATGACACTGTTCATCTCCTTACTGCTTCCTAAGAATTACCAAATATAATCATCATTACTGATTCTTCTATAGTATAATGTTTCTTTTTCTCATTGTGTTTCTCTTTCAGATACTCTTCAGCTTTAGAAAACCAAGGGATTCCTATCATTCTTCTTGCAGGCTTTCATCACTGGGTTATCAAAAAACAAGACCCAGAAATTCAAATCCTGCTCTCCAACACCTAGTACATTTCCTCCTCTTGGTCCAGTAGTAAACTAGGAGTCCTTCTAAAAGTCTTCTAAGACAAAGAATGCACTTTTTTATCTTGATGGTCCACGGTCACTGTATTAGTTCCCTATTACCTCCGTAATAAATCACCACAAATTTGGGGGCTTAAAACACAACAAGTGCATTACCTTTTAGTTTTGTAAATCACAAGCACGAAATGGGTCTCACTGGCCTAAAATAAGGATGTCAGCAGGGACGTGCTGTTTTCTGGAGGCTCTTAGCTTGCCTTTTCCAGCTTCTACAGGGCACCTGCACTCCTTGGCTCATGGTCTTCTCCTTCCATCAATGTTGCACCTGATCCTTCTTTCATATTCACCTCCCACTGACCACAGTAATAAAAGGCCCACTGCAGTGAAGGACTCATCATCTCCCCACCTTCAGGTCTGTAGCCTTAATCACGCCTACAAAGTACCTCTGGCCACGTAAGAGGACATCTGCACAGGTTCTGGGGATTAGGATGCAGGCATCTTTAGGAGCCAACATTCTACCTATGGGAAATCACTACCTCAATCGCTATCTCTAAGGATTTTGAAATCAAAATTTTTCTCTTTCTCGTGCTCTATTAGCTTAGGTTCTTCTCCTTAACACAGCTTTTATGCTTTTTCTTAAAGCTTTCCTTTCTAGCTTTCTTCCTAGATGATACTTTCTATCCTGTAAAGGAAGAGTTTAATTTTCTAAGACTTTCATAGTCCTTTCTAGAATCAAAACTATTTGAATTCATAATAATCAATGTTCAACTGATTTTTATTAATAATCAATTAATTGTTTTTAAATGTTTTTAAATACACATTCACTGCTCCTCTATCAGAGAGAACAGCTTACACTTCTAAACATGAAGTGTGCAGTGACGACACCTAACAATAAACACTGAAGACCATTGGACTGCTCTGAAAAGTCCTCCAGGCACCTCCCTACGGCCGAACTCAGGGAAAATTCCCTGAAGAATTCCC